AATCGGACGACTGATTGCTCGCAAATCCCGTCAAATATATAAAGTCTGAGTTCTGCTTGAATTGCGAGGAAGGGATCCGCGTGTCGGCCAGATATTGACGACTGGATCCGCTGATGAGGATTAGGTTCGGTTTGCGACCCATATATGCGGACCTGTCTATCATTCGCATCACTGAGTGCTGTCTCTCTCGGATCTCTTCGCTTCCTATCAGTGAAGACATGGCACTCATCGGAGATAACTGTGTCCGAGGGTTCTGGTCTTCAGCCAAAGAGTCCACTGACGACGGCTTCAATGCAGACGTCACTTGAGGTGACAATTGGACCAAAGAGTTGGACGATTGGATCCGTTTGGGGAAGTCTTGCGGAGGTTTAAGGGATAATAGAAAACGTTTTGGAAATAAGTTTTTCATTTTGTGTTGAATTGTAATTAAATTTAATGTAATAATAATGAAATGAATATTAATTTAGAAATTGAATGAAATGTTTGAAAACCAATTGAAATGCAAAACAAATGACAGAAACACTGAAAACGAGTTCAAAGTGATTGCGATAGGAATGCAAACTAAGGGAGCATTTCATCACAACTTTGTGTGCATTCGTTGGACACAAACTCACGAATATTCTGTTGAATGACAAGTGAATGATATGTTTAACACAAACGACACGAAAGCAAACGTCAGAATCGTGTGGTCTATTAAATCGGACCACATTATGATAGATAATAAGTACTTACTATTAATAACATATTAACACTCGTTTGATAAATGATTGTGTAATTGGACTGAAATTCAGTTCATTAGTTCACTTCTAAACGATTTGATAAAATAATTGAAATTTGTTTTATTCCTTGAAAATATAAACAAAAATAATTATATCTAATCGCAGAATAAATTAAGTTCATTATTCTTTATAAATATTTGCGAAAAATGAACAAATATTGTTGTTTCTAAAATATATAAATACCAATTCTGTGGGGAATATGTTTTACTGTACTATAAATAAGTTAATGGAAAATGGAGATAATTGTTATCTAATTATTACATAAATTCATTGAAAGTCATGTGTAAGCTAATTAATAAAGTTAAGTGATAATATTTCGATGACTCTATTTTTACACCAAATGTATTATATATTCATAATGTAATATTTATTTAATTTCAAAGTAAATTATGATAACGTTGTAATCACTTGAATTCTGTCCAAAAATTTGTTATTTAATTTAATATGAGAATAAATATTTGAATTGTTGTTTTTAAAATTTTCTTTAATAATAGTCTGGATCTGTTATAAACATTTTCCCCTAATTTTTAACTCCAAATAAGTTTATTTGAAAAGGATTTTGAAGTGTTTTTCTTCAAAGAAGTCTATTTAAGAAAGTGATTGAAAGTTATCTCTAAAATCTATTCTTATATTTAATAATTAAATTCCTTCTGATATAAATAGCATATTATAATGAAATAATTTAATTAAATTACCAATGTATAAAATTCATTAAATATAACAAAAATTTAACTTGTTCAAAATTCTTATAATAAATATCATAATTTAATTATTCTTTGCCGCAAATGCGCACAACATTTGTATTGATTTTTAAGTCTAAACTCTTTGCTTCTGCACGAGTGAAACGGTCTGATGAGACATAAGACAAAAATATGGCGAATATCTCAAGAATTGGAATATTCTTCTGGTCATAGATATATAACAAGATGTTTGCTAACCAGACATTACTTAGACCGGAAAGTCTGGTGAACATGACCGGTGATGTCCAAGCCGTCAAAGACTGTGCTGAAGTACCCGCACATCACATACTGTTCCAAATGGCAAATATCTGTTTCGTATTGTCTTATGCCATACCTAATGGCAAGTATTGTATTTTGGTTATGCACTCAATGCTGGCTTTCGGCTGTCTATTGGTGTCCGTCTGGTCGTGGAGTTTCATATGTGGTTCGGGAGTGTTTGGATGGTATTTCACGTTCATGTTAATCAATTTGATCCAGATATTTTATCTGCTCTACACTATGCGTCAAATCAAATTCCCAAAAGAACTCGAAGACATTTACCAAACATTATTCGAGCCAATCATGATATCTAGGGCTCTGTTCAAGAAGATGGCATCAATTGGACAGATCATGATATTACACGCGGGAGAGGCATATGCTATGGAAAACCTAACCCGAACCGATCGGTTAGGGCTTCTCATTAGTGGAAAGTAGGATAATATCAGAATATTCTGTGCTTTTTGTAATTTAATACTTTAATTCTTGATTTGGATTAGAGTTAACGTGATTTCTGGCAATCATTACCTTCATTGCATTGAAAGCAAACAATTCTTAGATTCACCTGAATTTGAAAGCAGCAAATCGGGTACTGAAGAGAAATTCAAAGTATCACTCATTGCCGCCACTTCTTGTCGATACATCTTCTGGCAAAGACAATCACTCGAGTATTTACTCATAAAACAACAGTTCTTGGCAAATGTCTTGAGTCTCATATTATCGCGCGATATAACCAACAAACTGTACGCCATGAATGAAAAGGTGATTCAATTCTTGTTACCTAATTAAATACCTGATAATTATCAGGATAATTATAGCTACTTTTACGGTACCTTATAAACAGATCGTAGCAGATAAGGGATCTCAACTGGACATACGTTTGCCAATCATCATCACGTCATTGTGTAACTCAGCCTCAAGTGTCGGATCACATGAACAACGAACAGAATCGCCCACTACTTCCAGACCAGCATTTCATGAAAGAGATAGAATCGCTTCTCCGGTTATGATATTTAAAGGCTCCCGAAGCAAGAGTTTACAGACAAACAGCTTAGGCCTGGCTGTGGGCACTTCGCCCCGAATGATAACACGTGCGGCAGCTCTGAAACTGTCGCCTAAAAAGGAATTCTTCGATTTGAAACATATTAGTGAAGAGATTAATCATGAACTTCAAAATATTCATATTACACCCACTCATGGCGTTAAATATAAGATCCACAAACCAAATTGATTTTCACTCTCATGTCATTGTCGTCATCAGTCATAAGATGATCGGATCATTTGGTTTCCATAAGACACTAATGAACTTATATTTACCACTATTTGTACAGTATTTGTGATTACCGTCCGATGTTTAGTCTGTTTGAGATTATGTCAAATCTGATAGATTTCATAATGTGAAGCATTTTATGTAAATATGATAATAGTATTATAGTGTATATTGTTATATAATTATGAATAAAATTGTTTACTTATTTGTTTATAATTAATGTTGAAATCAAATTTATCAACATAAGTTAGCAGTTATCAACAACTTCTCATTGATATTACAGTAAGTTGGAATTTAGCCAAGCTAATTAGTCTTTATGTTAATTGAAGTCTATGTGTTCTTTTGAATAATTAATTAAATATAAATACTGTACTGTATTATCTCAAAACAAATTTTTAAAAAATATTTATTTTATTTTATTTGCAGAATATTATTTATAATATACAGTATAGATATTATTTTGCAGATAGAGTGCAAAAAGGAGATAATATGGAGTCTTAAGTGATGGACAGTTGAGAGCACTTAGTTTTTGGAGTAAAGTCGTGAGTGAGACTCATGATCGTTGAATCCAATACTATAATTTACCACAAATAATTGTTTTACACAATATACAGATCTATATTCTATTTATATTAATACTTTATTGCTGTTTTATATCATTTATATCATTTTTAATAACAGGTTTATCACAACACTATTTTCTGTAATTTTACTAATACATTTTTCAACATCCCACCCTAATTTGATCCCTGTCCTAAAATTGGGTTGAAATTTTTTATTCAATGTATTGTTTTCAAAAAAATGCCAATTATATAATTTATCATAATTGTTATACAAATATAGGAATAATATATTTTTACATTTCCACAAAATTATGAGAATAAATATTTATTTTGAGGATATTTTACTGGATTATCATAACAAAATTATATTTATAAAATCGTTGCACTAATGCTTAATAGACTTAAATTGTGTGTTAATAAAGCTTAATAAGTTTAAGTGACAGAAAAAATAAAGCAAAAGATGTTGCAATAATAAATTGAAAAAATTGAAGGTATTATCAATAATGGGATTATAACTAAAAAGCCATCACTTATTGCAAGATGTAATGAGTGTTGAGTAGTAATAAATGGGTTTCTATTAAAATAGATTATGAACTAAATCTGTGTATCAGATCTTGTGTTGTATTTTAATCTAAGCATTTGAGTGACAGAAGGAAAATATAAACAAAACATTGAAAATTAGGTCAGGGATTGAGTGATTAAGTGAAGATCACTTCCGCATATCATCACTGGATATCACTTTCAATTGTTCTCTAAAGTGGAACTCTTTTGGCAGTGANAGGGATTGAGTGATTAAGTGAAGATCACTTCCGCATATCATCACTGGATATCACTTTCAATTGTTCTCTAAAGTGGAACTCTTTTGGCAGTGAAGCCAATATTGGTTTACAAGTTTAGCTCTGGTTTGCGCTCTCAATACAAGTGCTGTACAGTATTGAGGACTCAGAGAGTTGGGAGGACTGGGAGTGAGAGCTCGGGCTAAAAAAGCGGGCGAAGGACATGAGTGATAGATATTGAATAATAATAACAATATTAGATCAGTTGCAGTAGATATTGAGGAATATGTTCACCACAATATTGGCTCCATTTGACAGAGAAGTTGTTTATGACTGGCTTAGTGTATACCTAATCATCACATCCTTGGACTACAAAATCACTTAAATTCTATTCATTATAACTTACGAAGAAATGTCTATATTTTATATAATAATCGTCATTATCTCATATCTTTGCAACGATTGCAAGTGTTTCATAGAAATCATCGATCAAAACATACCAAAGAGTTTAATACTCGGCAACTCTTCGGACATAATCGTCGACATCGGAGAGGATGTGCTGCTCGAGTGCGACACAAGTAATGATACGAAAAGCTTTGAGTGGTATCGGAAAGAAGAGCATTGGTTTAACCATGAATTACCTGAACAGCGGATCTTCTTCGACGAGCAGTACCTGTTGGTGAACGAGAATAAAGTTTCCACAGTTCTCTACAAATGCATTACAAGAGAATATTCCGGATTCTATTTAATCAAATCATACAAACTATATGTCGATAGACTGCCTAAAAGGCAAAGAGGTTTGCAGTCTTTCATCTCTTTATAAGAACTTATTTTCAACAAACAATTCTTTAC